TGCGCAGCGCTCCCGTGACCCCACGGCGCGGGCGCGCTGGCGTTCACGCCGGCCCGTGTCGCGTCGCTCGAGCCCGCGACGGAAAGAGGTCCCGGAGGGGAACGTCAGCCGGTGGGCGGCCGGCGCCGTGCGCGCCGTCTTTAAGTCTGCACGGGTGTGAGTGACTCTGCTGGAGCGAAGTGAATGGTGCACGCTTGGGGTTTATCCGTCTTGATTGCTTTCTGCTTTGTACATTTGAGCCACCTGAAACCCTGTCCTAGGCTTAGCGAGGTTCTTTTACAAATCGTGAAAACATTGAGTGCTGGCCTGAATGAATAACCAAATATTCTCTCCCTCCGTCTGTCTGTCTGTCTCTTCCCCTCCCTCTTTCTGTCTCTGTGTTTCTCTCTTTTTTTTCTCTGTCTCTCTCTCTCCCTCTCTCTCGCGTCTTTTTCAGACAGGATCAGCACAGGCGTGCGCTCAGGAAATTTTTGAATGCCCAAGAAAAATACCGAAAACATCAGCGTGATGTTATATTTCCAGATACACAGCCTGTCTTGGTTGGCCTGTGTAGAAGTAGCTTAGCAGCTTGCGGGCACGTTAAACACACTGAGCAAGAATGGCGAATCAGCTTTCAAAAGTAAAACTCACAAGAAGTCCACTTCTGTAATATAAAATATCGGTTACAGCCTTAGAATAGCGTCTCAGGTGGCTCAACTCTAAGAAACCAGGCAGCAAAGAGCAATCTCATAGCAGGACCCACATAAGGTAATATTTTACTAAATGAAAGTTTTGCATCTCTTCTGTGACTTTGAGCACCAAATATGGTGCTTTGAGTGTTGATACTTTATACTGTTCCCAAGTAAGTCTAAAGCCTGATCCTGTGACTTCCGAAGCATGAACAGCCTTAGTGCTGACACTAATTTGATAACGTGGAAAATTATACTGAGCTGAGGAGAAAACGAAAGCGTAAAATAAGAAAAGTACAATTGTACTTTCACCCTAATTGTACTTGTGAGGGAAACCTGAAGTTGTTATTTAGGTATTACCAAATGATTGTTCAAAAATGCATTTCTGTATTGTATACAGCAGTCTCAAGCTTGGCTTCCTGTTCTGTTCAGTTTAGCCACACACCCCTCAGAGTTAGATGTTATCCATGTTCAATAAATCTTTAGTCTGAGTTTATAGGCTACCACCCACCCTTCTCATGAAAGGGTCAAAATCCCTAGGGACACAGGACAGAACTTTCTCAATTGCCCCCATGGTGGTTTAGCTACTCAGCCATCATGGGAAAACTAGGAAGCCCAAGTAAGAGACCAGTAAGTTCTCCCCAACCCCTACTGAGATCCTTGCAGATGTCCTATATAAATATATGTTGCCTTTAACAAGGAAAACCACACCCTGAACACACTTCTGTTGCTCCTTCAAAAACAAATTGGTGTCTTCCATGTCAGTAAATAATGTATCTACATCCTTTAATGGATACATAATTGTGTCCACTTCTCATTGCTGTAACAAACTACCTGGCAGTTTAAAGGAGGAAAAGTCTGTTTTGGCCTAAAGTTTCTGAGGTCCATGGGCCATGGTCAGCCGGCTCTCAGCCCTGCAGTGAGGCAGAAATGTCACAGAAGAGTGTGGCGGAGGAGAGCTGTTCAGCTGGCAGCCAGGGAGCAGAGAGAAGACCAGAGGAAAAGGCCTGTAAGCAGGTACAGTCCCCAAAGTCACCCCCTGGGTACCCCCTTCCACCAGGCCCTACCTGCTGTTTCTATCACCTGCCAACAATGCTGTCAAATTGTGATCTCATCAGTAGGTTAATCCACTTCATGGAATTGGAGGCCTCCTGATTCTGTCACCATCCTCTGAATACAGGTGCTTTTAGGGGGAACATTTTAAGTGTAAACCATAGCAATAACACTCCACTGTTTGTACCAAAATTCATTTAATCCTGTGTTATCACACATTCCTTGTTTCCCATTTAACAGCTATAAACAATGGTGCAATGAAGCCGGCATTTTAAAATAGGAATCCACGCGCTTTAGACTGTCCCATACCTGAAGATGAGGCAGTGCCAGTACCTCTGTCTGTCCCAGTGAGCACCGTGTGTGAGCACAAAGACGTGGCGGGCAAGAGGACTTGAATCTGACGAAATCATGAGCGCTTTGCAGGCCTAGATAGCAGCACACTTCCAGCTCTGTGCCCGGCCATTGGCCAGAACCTCGTCTTGTGGACCCTTGATAAGTTGCAAGGGTGCCTACGGAAGGGAAATGGCACTGATAGCATCTTGCCAATCTTTGCCAATTTTTAAAAAAATTTCTACATGTTAAGATTAGAAAATAGAATACAACGTAAAGCAGCCCACTGCCCGCCCGAAGGCAGCTGCCAAAGGTGGTTGAGGGACAGGTCGTAATGCTGGATGGCTGAGGCATTGTGACCAAGCAGGGAACTGCTGAGCTAGAGGGTGGTGGCTGTGCACTTCTAGTGCATCAGCATTCCTGGCAATTTCTACCAAAACGTATTAAAAGTACCTGACCTTGCTCCTCAAGTGGATGAACACCAACGTATCCTGCGGGGCCTACCCCCCTTCTGGGCCCCCACCATGTCTTCTGGCAGACTGTGCCAGGTGTGCTGCCTTACCAGGCCAAACTAGGTCACCCCGACCTCCTCAAGGTGTTTGATGAGATCCCGCCGCCCTGTGACAAGAAAAGGCAAATTGTGACTCTTCTTCCTTCAATGTTGAGCACCTGAAGCCCAGGAGAAAGTTTGCCTCCTTGGAAACTCCTGGCTCATGAGGTCAGCTGGAAGTACTAGGCAGTGACAGCCACCCTGGGAGAGAAGAAAAAGAAGGCCACGATCTTTCACCAGAAGCAAAAACTACGAGGCTACAGAAACTGGCAGAAAAAAATGCGGAGAAGAAAATGACCAAGTTCCTGAAGGCTCACAGACTCCTACTCTGAGTCCAAGACGGTCTGTCAGTGCCTCATGTTTGGCCTGGCCTGAGCTTCCATCCTCACTCTGGGATGTAGGGCACCAGGGGCAGCTGTCCAGGTGCTCTAGGCAGCTCCCAAGCTCTTAGAAAGCTGGGGACAGAGAAGGTGCCTTTGTCACTGTTCTGTTTAAGAAGTTCTTTCCAGGAGGTTACGCTAACAGCGCTTCGCATTGTGCAGACGGAATTTATAACCCGCTTGCTCCTGAGAGAACTGTGGAGAAGCAATGGAATCACTGTGCTGCAGCTGTCAGATGGGAGGAGACAGGCATTGCCCCTGCTCCTTCCCTCCGTTACCAGAAACAATTCATTTCTGTCCTTGGCTTTTTAGGCAGGGTCTTACTATGTAGTTCAGGCTTACCCTGAGCTCACTGTAACTAGCCCAGGCTGGGCTTGAACTCGCTGGGATCCTCCTCTGTGGAGGTTACAGGCTGGCTCGTGTCCCAGGTTCCTTGGCAGGCTGCCTTACGGTAGCAGAAGAACCAGTTCTATATAACTCTGCTTCCAGGTTCAGGGGCTCTTTCCTTCCTCTCATCCTTTGGACCTGAGGTGGTGAGGGTTCCTCGCTTCTTGTCTGGGTTTTTTCATTACCCGTTCATCCTGACCACCACATGGTAATTAGTCCCTTCATAAATCAATGTCCCAAGGTGACCCTAGTTTGGGTGTGCTGCTTCCAACTGTAGCCCTGATAGTACTGGACATGAAACCTAATGTGAGCAATTTTTTTTTGTTTTGGTTTGTTTTAGAGACTGGGCCTCACTATGTAGGCCAGGCTGGCTTCAAACTTGTGTTGATCCTCCGAGTGCTGGCGTTGCAGGCGTGCAGCATCACGCCCAGCGTATTTCAGATATTAAGTGATTGGTGGTTTGATGTAAGGTTAAAAATGGGGAGTGATGGAAAACATCCAGTGTGTAAAGACCCTGGAGCCCCGTGGAGTTAAGTCTTTCAGCCCAGGCATTGGAGAATTCATAGCTTCATGGCCATTTCCAGCTAAGTGCTTTGCAACAGTGTAGCTGGGGGCTGCCTGCTTTCCTTTCTTTTTTCTTTTTTTGGCCTGCTTTTCTTGTGTTTTGAGTTGCATTTGCCACCAAAGGAGTACTGACTCCTTACTAAAATTCTAACTAACCATACCTGGGAATGTGATTTTGTTTGGTAGTAAAATTTTTGCACCTGTAATGAAATTAAGATGGTCATAGGAAATTAGGGTGGGCCCTGAATCCAGTTACTAGTGTACTATAAGAAGAGGGACATTTGGATACAGAGATACACAAGAAGAAGTCCAAGTGACGAAAAGGAGGATACATCTGAGAAGAACCTGGAATCAACTCCAGAAGGAGAGGCAAGCAACCCAAAATCCAGTAACATTTATTTGGTGAACCACATTTAGAAGAAGCCACCCAATAACACATCTACAAGCCGGAGAAGGCCAAGGACTGAAAGACCAGGCCCTGCGGACACCCTGAGGGATTTCTGGCCTCCAGATCAAGAGTAAACTTCTGTTCCAAGCCACCCAGTGTGAGGCCTTTGTGACGGCCATGAGGGAAACTAATACACGAACACACTCAGCATCTTGGAAGAATGGCCACCAGATTTGCACATTTTCACTCTCACTATCTTGATAAACAGCCAGGGCTGAAAACTTTTACTTTAATAGCATACATGAGCCAGGCACGGTGGCACACCCCTGTAATCCCAGCACTTGGGAGGCTGAGGCAGGAGGATCATTGCAAGTTCAAGACCAGCCTAGGCTACAAAGTGAGCTCAAGGCCAGCCTGAACTGCATAGTGAGACCCTGTCTCAAAAAGACAAAAAAATTAAAAATTTAAAAAAAAAATACACGTTCGCTGGGCATAGTGGCACACACCTATAATTCCAGGACCCAAGAGGCAGAGTCAGGAAGATCACCAAATTTTGAGGCCAGCTGGGGCTACATAGTGAGACCATGGCTTAGATAAACAAGCAAAATGAAAAGTATATGTGTTTAAATTTTCCATTTACCCATAGCCTTTGTGGTCCAGCAACTGGGAAGCAAGAGGAAGACATGAAAACCATGTTTTGCTGTTTAAGCCAAGTGGCACACTAATACTAATTATCATCATCATCATCACAGGTATCACAGCCTGCCAAGCATGGTGGCACACGCTTATAA